AAAAAAAAAAAAAAAAACGAAAATCCCGACAATATCCGTGGATACGGTTAGTTTTTATGTAAATTAGATTGGAGGTGTCAACCCGTATCGAATGGAGAGCGCGTGTTTGGGGTCGAGATGTGTCGTATCGAACTTAACTAAAAGTTAATTTAAACACAATTTTTTTTTTTTTTTGTAAAAAAAATCTATTATACGTCAAGGCATTACGGTACGCGTAATTTTTTAATCGGCTTCAGTCGGATAATTGCAACCGTGAATAGACGAGATGTCAATGTGAGATTCCTACTCGTCGTGTGTGTATACTATGTCGGCGACAACGATTGGTCACAATGGAATAGTATTAAAAAAAAAAAAAGAAGATTCGGTTTCCAATGTGTATGAGTATTATTATTGTGTAATCGTCGTAACCACTATATACGCATGTGCCGCCGCAAGAAATATCCTCGAGAATTCCATCGTCATTGGTGCCGTGAGAAAGCATTCGAAGACTTTTAGAGATCAGCTTCATTCTGACCGAAGTAATAGGAAAATCTAATAGTTTTTAAAACAATTTTCTCTTCTAGATTAAAAAGTAGTATGCAAAATATTGTCCTGAAGAACTCGGATTGTACTTTGTTCAATCAGAATACATGTCCAAAACTAATTGCTTTCCCTATGGTTATATCGTAGGTTCGTGCGCGAGATAATTTTATTGATGGCTCGTATCGATACAACGTATGAATATGTTCTCGGTGGACACGATGGATTTTAATTTCACCTGATTGATGTAGCAATAGATCGTGTATGAGAAAACGCTTATGTGATTCCGTGTGCTTGTCAACACCGGAGACTTACACAGCCTCCGCGAACTCGGTCTCGGTCATAGAGCAATTTGACACAAAAGTGTTTGCTCCATATTTTCCATTGTGATCTATGCAAATAATGACAATAATAACAAGTATAATCATAGTGTAACATACCAACTGGTTGTCCACTCTCACGTTTTTGGTTGAAAAATCCTGTGGTAAACTGGTTTTGTATTTATGCGCACACATAACCTTACTATAATGGCACACGCTTATATTGAAGAAACTACATCAGCTTATAGAAATTATAATAAACCGTTAAGCCGCTTGTCGAACGGGTTGCAATTTTTCAGACGATAATAGGATTTAATTCATAAATTAAACGCTATACCTTATTGTGTTTTCGTTATGGTTCGGGTATTTTTTTTAAGCATATTATTTTATTGCCAGAGTTTTAAAGAATGTTATTAAATCTTTGCCAGAGCACATCAATCTCTTCAACGTACAGATCAAGGGTTGTGCAAGGCATTGAACGTATTATACCTACTCATTATAAATTTTAGTTCAATAATATAATTATAACTGAACAAACTAGGTGTCAGTAACGTCGTTCATCGACCGGTTTTTCGCAAAGGTGTGGGTGACTGAACATTTTCGTGGCTAAACGTGTTATATGAAATATCTTCACCAACCACAAGAATCGTGATAGCAATGATGGTTACATAAGAAATGAATAAAGTAAAAATGAGTGAATTGTTATAGATTAAGAACAAATTTTATCAAATATTTATTTCTAATATGTTTTACTGTAAAAAAAAATAGTGTATCCTAAAACATGATAATAAAAAACGATGTAATATTTTATTCATCAAGGTTGGGTTGACAGTTCTATTGTGTGGACATTAAACTATAGATGAGCACGTTTCTACAGCATAAGGTCTATAGTATGTATGAAAATTAATTAATGTGCAGCTATTACTTGCTAGATAAGGTATTTGTGCGTTAAAAAATAAAACCTGTCGATAATAATATTTAGTATTTCTATTTCTACGTAAACTCGTCCGACTTTTTCGAGATATTTTGATTAATTTATGTATGTATGTTGTGTTGAGATGAACTCGAGACAAATGGGGGACCGTAAAGATGTTTCTTAGAAGTGCTGTGTTTTTTTTCGGTATGGACAGACGAATTAGCTGTTGGGTGATTTATAATGTGTTCAAAATCACGACCGGTTCGACTGGCAATCAATTCTCGCCCAGGGCAGGCGAGCATGCTCAGACGCACAAGTGATAAATACGTTCTTCAGCACCACTCATCGTCATCTTCCATCTATTGCCTTTGCCTTCGGGAAAATTGTCGAACAATTATTTAAAATTAATATAGATTGGTCGAGCAAGTACGCTAATTGTATTTCCTAGGGGATTATAATAATACATAAAATATATTTGCCGTTCGGGTATACAGTTACATTATTGGGTGTAAAGGATATTTACGCGAAAAGACGAGATCTTATTGTATTACACACAGTGTTTAATATCCGATAAATAGTTTATACAAAAATTTTACTTAAAAAAATCATTATTAGTTCAAATTTTACGTTATTTTAATAATGATATTTTATTGTTATTTTTAGGCGGCTTTTACTAGCGGATCAAAATCTTTATACGAGGCACTGAGTGGTAAAGCTTACTTCCGATCAGTCACTGTAACACTTCCGCAAAACTGGCCAGATAATTGTGTTGGACATACAAGAACTATTGCGGCCAGTCAAGGAGAAATCCCAGATATCCTTGTCGGTCAACCCCATCCAGTTTACGGCGATGCAATGTGGACACAACAGTCACAATCCTGTGGGCGATCTGGCGATGCATTATATGGAAGTTATCGTCTATTTCAAGAACAACGAGAGTTGGGTAAAGACATAGCAAAACAGTGGGCCAAATATCGTTATGGTGTATTTGACGAGGTTGGTTATGCTGGTGATTCTGTATATCCTGCTTGTTATTTCTCTGAAACATCTGAAGGAGTTGAAATAAATGGATGTTCCGACAAACCCATTTCAAAGCCAAGGTAAGTGAATGGACATTATTAAGTTTTGTTAAAATTTAATTTCATAATTTAATAATAAATATGTAATTTTTAATTAGATCTTGTGATTTGATAAACATTACCAATTCAGTACATCCCGAAGCTAAAACTTCCCTGATGTTCTCAACCACGCAACAGGTTACTAAATTTTGCGATGCTTCTAGTCACGATCGTTACGCACCTACAAAGCAAAATGCATTATGTGGTAGACGTAGTATTATGGAAGTTATAAACACACATCAAGATTTTACTAAAGGGTAAGTTTCAGATTTCATTAAAATTGTTCAAATCACGTTTTATTTACTTGATTATTTCAATTATAGTGTAAACTTATCTGACAACCAAAATTTAACTCCAATTTTCACTTTCAAACGAGAAATGTTAACTCGGTATGTTGTTATCATTGAAGATACTAAAGACATGATAGATAGGGTACGTTATTTTAATTATTTGCTAAATAAAATACTAATTATTTTTATTAACAATAGGAATCATGGAGTTTTTTACGATTAGCCATTCGTAAATGGGCCGTATACGATTTACCACCCAATACTGAAGTTGGATTAGTTTCAGCTAATGATTCCTCTGCAAATCGTTTACATGGACTTAGTCATTTACTGAATAATGACGCTAGAGATCAAGTGGCCTCAAACATCCCATATTCACCTGGTGATTCTAGAGTACCCGCTTGTTTATCCTGTGCAATCAAAGAAGCTATTCAAGTAAGATTTGCAATAATTATAATAAATAGTGTACCAAACATCAATTTATATTGCATTTTAGATGTTAGAAACTCGAGCAAGTACCTACGGACAAGCTAGTTCAGTAATTGTAGTAATTGCACCTGGCACATTGGCGCACACACCTGATTTAAATAAACAAGTATCTGACGCTAGTGATAAGAACATTCGTATAGCAACTATTACGTATCCGATGTTGAAAAGGCCCAGATCTTTAGACTGGATGGCTGAAAAAACTGGAGGAGTTTATTTTTCAGTTGATGAAACTCGATACAACATGGCACAGTCTTTTCTATCAACTTACTTCAAACTTACTAACGTTATGCGCAATATAGTGGAAATCTACTATCAAGGCAATAAAGGTGATCTTCCAGTAGAAATACACAGACGAGAATTGATCGACGATGGTCGCACTACAGTCACTGGAAATTTTGTTTTGGAAGATTTTATGGGAGAACCAGCTAAATTTACTGTATATACTCATAACACTGAAAATCCTTTGATCAGAGCAATTACTTTGACAAGTCCATCACAGCGAGTGTACTCAACTAGATCTGATTCCCTTCTTTCGTTAAAAATGCTCAGTGTACCCGCTACAATCAATGAAGTAAATATAAAAAAAATGTTATTTTTAGAATTTCTTTTTAATAAAGTTATTTATTTTGTAGACTGGAACCTGGACATACTCCATTGAACGGTTTCAAGGTAGCCCACAACCACATTATATACAAGTGATGGCTAAACCATTATCAAAGAATTCACCAGTGGTCAGAGCTCGAGCTTGGACAAGTGGAACAACAAATCCATTAGCTATTTATACGGAAGTTAAGAGAGGAGAATATCCAGTATTGGGTGCTAAAGTGGAAGTATTAGTTATCAGACCAGGACTTAATGGTAGTGGAACTCATAGAGAAAAATTCGATCTCTTAGATACCGGCAGTGGTGGTGAGTACAATAAGTTACAACTTTCTAAATTATTATTAAAATACAAATTTTAACAATATATTTATATTTGTGTTTTGTATTAATAGATCCAGATCTCATGAAAGGCGATGGTATTTATTCAAGATTCTTTAATCCAATGATAGGTGGTCCAGGAACTTATACCTTTGAAATCACAGTGTCAGATAATGGCAACACAGCGTATACTTGGCAGTCATCTATACACAGAAATGTAGAAAGGCAACCCATTAATACTGGTAAGAGTGATTTTCTTTAATTCATAAAGAATATTTATTTAAATAAAATATATAGAATATTTATAAATGTATATTTTATTTTTTAGAATCAAACTGTTGTGGATCTTTCATGGCTATTTTACCTGCTGAACCACTTAATCCATTTCAGCGTATCATTGCTCCAATGTCTGTCACATATAACTCAGATGATTTGTCATCTTCCACGAACGTTGGACGAGTTGGTGATCTTATTGCTGAAATATTTAAATCTGAACAAAAAGCGAAATTAACGTGGACATCGCCCGATTTGGGAGGTAATTTTGTGGCTCGATATGAAATACGCTACTCTCAATCTCTTCGTTCTCTTTTAAACGATTTTGATTCGGCTCCTATATGGGACCATGGACGGCCGGATACTTTTGCTCCAGGTGCTGAGACAATATTTTACTTGGAAATGAATAAGAACCCTTCACTTTTTGATCAAACATTATACATTGCTATTAAGGGTTACAGTCAAGTTGAGTCCGATGCTGTTCCTAGCCCAGTATCCAATTGGGTAAAAATTTTGGTGCCATCTCCACCACCTCCTCCGTCACATATCACAACTCATTCTTCAACGGGATCTGATCCATCTTGGAGTATACCTGATCAAAACATGATACCCAGAATCACTAGAGATTTTGAAATAAACTACGATGTTGTCGTTCCAGCTGCAGGCGGAATCTTATTGCTAGGAGTTTTGTTGCTCATGTATTGTATATTCTGTGCTGTCAAACGCAACAGAAAACCGGAAAAGCAATCGCCTAAACAAGAAAAACCACTGAACGTTTCTGTAATTCCTAATGGTGGTGGAAACATGACTATTTCCTCCCCGATGAACTCAGTTAAAGCTGAGCTAGAGGCACATTTTGAACCATGCCTGATTGACACAAGTGAGAAAAAACGATACAGTATATCTCAATATGGACAAACTGAACTACATCAAAATCAACCTTCTCAGCCTTATCATCATCAAAGCAATGGTCATTTAAGCATAATAAGTAATGCTGGGGCAACTCTTACACGTACTGTTAAACCTCTTAGTCCATATCAATCATGGACAGCTTCACAATTATTACATGAGCATGAACGTCGTATTAGCCCATATGGTCAAATTGGTGACTTTGAAAACCAATATCCTCCACCAGTTCCACCATTACCAGCTTACCAGCATCAACCCAATGGTAATATCGGTGAAAATATCTATGGTACAGCCCCTGGTCATTTATATCAACAAAACGGACTTCCTCCTCCTGGGCAACACACCAACAACTACCACAGGAACAATATGATTCTATTCAACCAAAGTTTACAAGGATCCTTAAGTTCTGTCAGTAGTGGAGATAAAAAGAAAAGAAACATCACAATGGTATAGGAGAAGGTAACTTGTATTTATGACCTTTATATTTTTAAGACTGACTAGAATGTTAAAAATAAACATTGGTCCTCCTAATTATATCATGTATTAATTAATAAGGTTCATTGGTAAATATGTTAAAGGGTCTCTAGTCAATTCTCTTTAGAACGTAGTCCAATGAACACTTATTACCACCATGTTATTATAATTATTATTATTATTATTATTATTATAAATGTTTGTTTTTTTTTTTGTTATGATCTCAATTTCTTGTAAATTACTATACTTGTACATCTACTGTGTATATAAAAAAAAATGTAAATTATTGTGTATTGTATACATATGTGAAATATTGCCTCGAATTTTAAGGACTATAAGAGCAGTACTATAATTTATTATTATTATTATCTTTATTATTGTTTTGTTATTATTATTATTATTTGCGCGACAATATCTTTGTTCTTTTTTGTTTTGTGTTCTAAACAATAATGACTATCATCATAACAATATATCCCAATACAATATTATGATAGAAATACGATGAAAATTTGACTATGAATTATTTTTATCTTAGACAATTTAATAAAAACATAATACTATGTCGTACTTAAAATACATTTATACAACAATTCATTATTATCATCATAATTATTACTATATTTTTGTACTTAAAATTAAGTGTTTGTGTTGTAGACTACTTAAAAATTATTATGAAATAAAATTGTGTAAATTTATAAAATATCTTATTTTATTTCAAATTATCTTGTAACTCCTATAAAATTTTGTGTGATATAGAAACGTTTTTAATTAATTTTTTCACATTCAATGAAAAAAAACCCAGCACTGTGAGGTCGTGGCATAGTTGGGTCCAGTATAGATTTAACCTGACAGTGATTAAAATCACTATCATAAGAAACGCTTCGATGCAAATCTGTAGATAGTGTTTAATTCTAAGAAATTGATGGATAATTACAAAAGCAACATCAACTTCTATTTCCTTAATTTTACCCAAATTAGTAATTCATTTAATTATCTATTATATAATTTTTAAAATTAATTGTTTTCAAATTATATTTGATTTTGATTTTTAATATGTTAAAAGTAATCATTTTGAACTTACTTTTTTTTGTTCTTTAAAGTGAAAGTTTTAATTAAAAAAAATGAATTTATTACCATAACTTTTAGCTCAACTTGCAAGTTTGAAATTGACATTATTAAATAGAAAAAAATGAAATTGTTAAGATTAATATGCAATCAGGAAATTTTATAATTACTATTTACAGTACATTTATCAGAGAAATTCGATTTTTTTTACATTTTTATCGTAATAGATCACTTAAATAAAAATTATAGTAATCATTTCCTAATAACTTTTGGCGTTTAAAAAGATTCTGCAATTGAAATTGACACGTAATCCAATAAGGGTACGGGCGCACGAGTGACGCTATAACGCACTACCGCAGATATACGAGGCACGTCCAGAAAGTAAGTGTACTGGTATAAAAATAATTAAGAACAAAAAATAAGTGTTTTAAATTAATACTGGTTTTGATTATTAATATGTTAAAATAAGGAATATGACATATTTAAATTACTTTTTTAATCGTTTAAAGTTGATTTTTGTGAATGTTTATAATAAAAAAATAATTATTTATTTTACCGTAACTTTTAGCTCAATTGGCAAGTTTCAAATTGACATCATCAAATAGAAAATTTTATGAGAATTAAAAAAATTGTAACGTTAAGATTAATATACAGTTAGGAAGTTTTATAAATACTATTTATAGTAAATTTATCAATATAGCTCAATATTTTTTTGAATTTTTATTGTAATAGATCACTTAAATGGTAATCATTTCCTAATAACTTTTGGTGTTTAAAAAGATTCTACAATTGAAATATAAACTGAATTAATTTTAATGATTTACTTTAACTAAAATAACCAATAAAACATCGAAGCTAAAAAAAATACATCATAGTAAAATTCGTACCTTCTCAGCTTCGTATCGAAGCTAAAAATGTGGTTAAAAAGATCTACTCAATAGCGTACTATAAAATTTGATTATAATTGTAAAAATCCATTGTTAATTCAGGAAAAACTAACAATCATTTTTTTTAGAAATGCTTTATATAGCAACATGTTACCACACACAAATAGAGTAAAAACATTATTAAATTACAAAGTAAAATGATTTAATTTTGTATTTGAAACCTATCATATCAAACTTGATTTGTCAATAAATACTTTGAAAACATTAGATATGAATGATTTTAATTGTCAGTATGTAGAATGAAAAAAGTATATATAAAGTATTTATTATTAAAGAATAAAATTAATTCATGCAATTTTTAAAAAGTTATAGCAACATAATGTTAAAAAACCAAACCCAGCACAGGGGGGTCGCGGCACAGTGGTGACGGGGCATAGTTGGATCAAGAATAATGATATCTGACAGTGATTATAATCGCTATAAAAAAAAAACGCTTCGATGCAAATCATTAGATAGTGTTTAATTTTAAAAGATTGGTGGATTATTCCAAAAGCTACATGATCTGCTAGTTCCTTATTAATATCCTGATTAGGATAAAGTATGTCGAATATAAGAGGGATAATTAAATAATATTATTTCTCATTAAAAAATTATGTTGATCCATACACTTTTCAATAAGTTATATCATTATACAGTTAAAAATGTAAAAAATAAAATCTAGAATTTTTATACAAAAATAGCATTTGGTAGCTATTTTCACCGTGAAGACAAAATAAAGTCCGAAATTTTTTTTTTCTATAATTAAATATATTACATTAGCTTTAATTTAAGATATATATAAAAGTGTCAGACTTTTCGGAACACTTTCAAAAGTTAAGTGTAAAAGTAAATTTTTGTGAAAATGTTGTCATTTTAAATCCTCCCCAGTGGGCAGGTAAAGTGTTAAATTTATGAAAATAATATACCAAATGATAGGTAAACACTTCAAGCATTTATAAAAAAAAAATTATATTGTTATGTTCATTTTAAAAAAAGTTTTGGCAGTTTTTATTAAAAAAAATTGAAATAATTTCGAAAATTAGTGATTTTTAAATTTGTAATTTTTTTGAAGGTTTCCCCTATTTAAGGGGAACGAAGGAAATTTTTTCAATTTTTGAGGGTAATGTCTTCGACTATATTCGATTTGTGATCTTTTGATGTATCGTTGATAGTTATCCGTTCGGTGAGAGCTGAGAAAAAATGGATACAAAAAAAAAAATATCAGCTTCGCATCGAAGCTAAAAACACATCATAGTAAAAGCATTACCTTTTCAGATTCGCGTCGAAGCTAAAAATCGGTTGTCAAACCAGCTTATGCAAGGATTTCCAAGGGACATTAATATTATTAAAATTAGTTGATGTTATCATTAAGAATTCAATTAAAAAATACGATTAATGGAAAAGTATTTTTATTTAGAAATTTACTATAAACAATTCATTTACTAAAATGATCATTTATCGATTTTCGATGTTGAAATGAAAGAAAATAATTTTTTTTTAGTTATAAACTTCATGACCTGTGTGTGTTTCCATTGAAGTACTCGAAGCCGACGAATAATTTTCAGAAGAGTCACAGGATTCTTTTAATTCACCTGAACATAATAAAAACTATGAATTAAATTTTTTTAACTATAAAAATTAAAAGTATAAAAATCATTAATATTTTCTGAAGGTTTATATATTATACTTCATAAAGAAATTTCTTTCAGTTATCACTTTTTTAAATTTCTTTTCGGAGTTAGGTGATCCTTAATATCAAAAAAAAAACCCAGCACAGGGGGGTCGCGGCACAGTGGTGACGTGGCATAGTTGGATCAAGTATAATGATATCTGACAGTGATTAAAATCACTATCAAAAAACGCTTCGATGCAAATCTTTAGATAGTGTTTAATTTTAAAAAATTGGTGGATTATTCCAAAAGCTTCATAAACTGCTAGTTCCTTATTAATATCCTGATTAAGA